AGGAACTACATTACACTGTTTGGAGCATGCCCTGACAAGAAAATTAAATCACCTTTGTGAGACTTCAGAGTTTTTTCCTTTTCTTGCTGCCTGCCTGGCCATTGCTAAGACTGTCTTTACCACAACAGGCCACAGAAAAAGAATAGAGATACATGTACATACACATATAGAATATCTATACACAGACACATGCACGCACACATCAAACATTTGCGTACATACCTATACATAAACATATATAATGAAGCATATAGTTAACAAAATTTAAAAATAAAACAAATTATATAAAATAAAAAAAAAACAAAAAAAACATAATTCAACTACCCCCTCCCTCCCGGATCCAGATCTCCAAATTGCAGTTACAAATTAAATCTGAAGCCCAAGAAGAGTAGTCAGCAATGAATGCCAAGCCTCTATTGCTGACTCTTTTGCACCATGGACTCTGGCAATAGACAACTCCAAATAAACAATATCCATATAAGTTAAAACCCAAGCTCGAAAAGTGAGTAAATGTGGAGGTTTCCAACGTGTGGCAATTAATTTTTTTGCCGCCGTAAGTCCAGCCAGCAAATCTCTTCTCTTGCCCAGTGTCAAACCCAACCCTGAAAAATCATTCAAAATAAGAGTAGCAGGTGTACAGGGCAAATTTATCTTAAAGGTGCCATCTGGAACTAAAAATCAAAAAATATTCCATATTCCATAACAGATGGGGGCAGTATACCTCCAGAAAATGTGTTGTGCCGCTGCCGCACGCACTCACGTCTTCAAACAACACAAACGAGCGCTGTTTTGCTCTCTTTCTCCGCATATTATTCAAATCATTTGACACGATAGTAAAAGGTCGGAAGACCGCAGTTTCACGTGGAGCATTTGGAGATTTTTAGAGATCAGAGACTAAATGAACAACATCTCAACACTAAATGATGAAGACCGACTCATAGACGCCTGTCTCAAAAACAAGCTGTTGCATTTCGACGATATGGGAAAATAAAAGCCTGCAGGCTATTATTTTAAGTTTACGGTATTTGTTTTGTTCATATTACACTTTTATTGTTAGTTTGAATTTAATTTGACTGACAGCATTCGCTGCTGCCAGCTCTCACGAATTCACCGTGAGACATGCAATTAACACTTAGCAAGCAGGTTAGTTAAGCTCTCAGATTCTGTCAATTTTATTATGCAATTCAAACAATAAATACCGTTTTGGCGCTTGTACATGTTACACCACAGATCCCTAGCGCACGTGAACTGATCATCTCTACTAGCTAATGGAAAAAGAACCCGAACACTGTTGAAAGATACAGTATGCTACAACTTACCAAAATGTATTCCTCATGCATAATGTCAACCAATCATTTTTTGAACTCTTCCCTGAACTGAAATAGCCTGGCTGCGCCCTCCTACGCACTTCCGCTCAATTTCATTTTACTTCAGTACTACGTCTGGGATCGCTCCATATCCTTAGGTTTCCAGAAACCAATTTTTTGTAGGACCAATCAGCGAATAGAGGGAGTGGCTGAGAAAGATGACGTTGATGTAAGCGCGTCAGTTTCAATTCAGTAATGGCAGCGGAGAAAGACGTGAGAAAAGCTATTCGGTCCGTTGTTGGAAAAGAAACTGCCGAATATATACAGAATTTAAAGCCGGATTGTTATCGTCTAACCTCTTGTTGCACAACTGAGGACCAAGTGAAGGAGGCAGAAAGTTTGGAAGTTTGTGCTGGGCAGTTCGTGCACGATGACCGTGACATTTTGGACGGACGGTTAGCCTGGTGTTCGCGGTGTTCGGAAGCCCCGAGTCCTGGCTGCTAAACTATTGTTGAAGATCCGCTCAGGAGTCGTGTCAGTCGCTCAGCTTCCCAACTGTAAATTTACTGATTCTTGTGATGAATAGAACATTTTGAGCCCCTTTGTGCACTCGTGCAGGAGGTTGGTGTGTCAGTTTTACATGTTGTAAATCATACAAATTGGTTGTGATTTAAAAAAAAAAAAAATTGTCATAAATAAAAATGTGAAAAACCATACTTTGAAGATATTTGATTTTCAGTTTTAGATGGCAATGGTTGATTTGTTTTACTAAAAAAAATAAATGCCACATAAAAATGTACAAACACGTACTTTGAAGACCATAATTAAGGTAATTAAGAAACAATAAGACGTAATATGAAAAATTGTTGTTTATTACACATCTGCAGATAGAGACAGACTGATCATTCACTGTAGCTGCTACAGCATTTGCGGCAGATCAGAAACGACCACAGCGGCGTATTTGTAATGATTAGACACAGCTTCCGCCATTGAATGAATATATCACTGTCCTTCGTGTCAAATATACATTTCGAATTAATAATTGTTCCTAGATTAACAAAACCTGCGGCGCTCGTTGACTGAAATCCTATTGTAAACATAATCCACCAGCCATTTCGGCGCGTGACATACGTCACTCACGACACCCCGTTAGCGATTGGCTATGGCAGATCGTGAGTGACTTTGGGCAGATCCAATAGATTTGAACTTTAATAGTGAACCCGCCTACAAGGAAGAAAACGTTTTTCAATGGAGCGGTTCCAGACTCTATGTGGAAATTAAAATGAACAAGAGTCTGGTTGAACCAGGCTAGAACTGAAATGTAGTAATGGGCTGTATTTCCACACGACTGACATCAGGTTTAAGTACACACACAAGCCGGCGCGAGCGCGACTCACTCGTGTAGTGCAGTTTGGCTGGTGGTAACGTTGCCCGGCCGCATACCGCCTCCCATGGCCGGAACTGGTATTACGACACCTGCCGGGCCGGGGCTAGTAATTTAGCATGCTAATTTAGGTTTATATCTCGGCAGCACTATAACTTGTCAGTTTTTTAATTACATCATTGCACTTATTTCTTCTCATTCTTTTGATGCGTGTAGCTCATTTTTGGGATATTTTTACCTCAATTATTACATATGGCACCTTTAAACAGCTTAGAGAGGTTCAATGCAATCATCTTCCAAAAGTCAGCCACTAGGGTACAAGCCCAAAACATGTGAAAGTAACTGCCAATCACTTTGGAAGAACATAAAGTACATGTTGGATCGTCGATAAGCTTCATCATGTGAACCTTTCTGGGAGTTAAATAAACCCTATGTACAAAATTAAAATGTATTTGCTGATGATCGGGGTTCCTAGATGCTAAGCCCATACTGATCCACACTTTATCCCAATCAAATGTGGGAGCCAAATCCGGAACATCTTTCCTCCACACTGTATCCAACACCAGAGGTCTATAAACATACCGCAGCAAGAGCCAGTAAAGTTTCGACACAAAACCCCTTGAACTCCCCACAGAGTGAAACAGTCTCCGAAGTGGGTGTGGTGAGAGAGGGGCTTGTAAGGGGGCACCATTGCTTTTAAAAGCCGATCTCAACTGCAAATAAAAGAAGAAGGAGGAACGTGGTATCCCAGGCTTTATACAAATGTCCTGAAAAGTGAGTAATCCCCCTCCCCATAAATATCACCAAGTGTACAAACGTTTTTTTTTTTTTTTTTCCCAATCGGGAAATCGAATGGGACAATTGCCAATCAAAAATCTCTCATTGTTAAATATTGGAAAGTGTGTGTCCCAAATGGAAGAGCAACCAGACAATTTCTCCACCCTCCTCCAAACCCACAACAAGTGTGAAATCACAGGGCCAAATCTCAAACGACAATGATGGGGTGAGATTTTAGCATGCAAAATATTAATAAAAGAGTATGGAGCTATCGTCCGTTCCTCCATAGTTTGCCAGGACACTTGCACATCAGGTTGAAACCAAGATAAAAGAGGTCTAAGCGTATAGGCACACTCGTAGAACTTAAAATTTGGGAGAGACAAGCCACCAGCTTGCCTTTCTCGCTGCATAGTGGTGAGCTTAATGCGAGGTCGTTTGCCATACCACAAAAATTTAGTTATTGCTGACTGTAATTTGCTCCAATAATTAGGGGGCAGAGGAAGGGGGAGCATTGAGCTGACGAAATTGACTCTAAGTAGAATATTCATTTTGATTATCGCTACCCTCCCACGAAGCAAATTCGGCAGGCTAGACCACCTGTCCAGATCCGCCACAACTTTTTTTAGTGTTTTACAAAAATTGTTTTTAATAATTGTCTGTATAGAGGAAGAAATTTCTATCCCTAGATATGTAAAGTTTTTAGTAACTGGAATAGATGCAGGGATGGGAACATTACACATTGCCTGATTTAAAGGTACTGTAGCAAAGCTGATTTCTGCCAGTTTATTTTGAAACCAGAAAGCTTGCCATAAAGATCAAAAGTTGACAGAACATGTGGGATACATTGCACTGGGTTGTTAAAATACAATAAGACATCGTCAGCATAGAGTGAGACATGATGATGTGTCCCTCTAATGGAAATTGGAGAGATTGTGGGTGAGACGCGGATGGCCTGCGCAAGTGGTTCAAGAGAAAGGGCGAATAACAGAGGGCTAAGTGGGCAACCTTGTCTTGATCCTCTCGAGATAGCAAAGGGAGATGAACTAGTTTTGCCTGTAAGTACTACAGCTGTTGGGTTTTTATACAGGACCTTAATCATTTTAATAAACGGCAAACCGACCCCCATGAATTCTAACACTGACCACAGAAAAGGCCACTCCAGACGGTCAAAGGCCTTCATTTGCGCCTAGTGAAAGGACAGCAGCAGGGGAACTTAAGCCTTGAACACCATCTATAACATGTAAATAGCCGCTTTCCGACCGGAGGGACTTTTGCAGTTCCTAGAACCTAACGTTCTTATAACCCTTTTTTTCTTGTGTTCTGACCGGACTAAATTGGGGATTTTTTAGTTCCACAGACCGTAGTTCCTATAACTCTTTCAGTACCTAGTCTAGAGCGAGGACTTTTTTAGTTCCCTTTCCCTAGGTCTACGTTGATTGGTTAAACTTATAAAAGTCATGCCCACTGTCAACACGGAACTTGTAGCGCGCTGTCTGCCATAAGCGGTGTGTTTTTGCAAAACATTACAACTAAGGATTAAGACAAACATAACGCATTCAACCAGCTGATTGCTAATGCTAGCTAAACTTACCCGTCGTTTTGTTTGCCTCCTGCGCTCTGTTAAATTTAAAGCTTCCAATTTGGCTGCACGTGCTTTGTTTCGCGTTGAAGCATATAAAGTGGTGTTACTCCTTATAAACCCTTTTACCGCCTCCCAAAGTATCCTAGAATCGAGAACAGAGCCGACATTAAATCTCAAAAATTTGCTTAAATTTGTTTCAAACTGAGTTTTGAATGCTTCATCTCGCAGTAATGAAGCATTAAAACGCCACCTAGGGGCTTTAGTGGAAGATGAGCGAACAGTGACCGAGCAACATATAGGTTTGTGATCAGACCAGGTAACCGGAATGTAATGCGCATTTTGAATATTTTGAAAAAGATCTTTTGAGGCAAATATAAAATCTAACCTTGAGAAGGATTTATGAATAAAATGAGAAATCTTTTAGAGAAGGGTATAACGAACGCCAAACATCAACCATGCCTGTATCAGATGCCCATTGGCGCAATGCCTCAGATGCAAGACATTGGTCCCTAGTTTCGCTGCTACCTGTTCTGTTCTGCATTGAAATCCGCCCCAAGAGCCAGATGGAACCCTGAGAGATCGGGCAGAGATTTAGTTAAAAGTTGAAAAAAAGTGGGATCAAATGCATTAGGGGCATAAGCAGAAATAAGTGCAATGTGTTTCCCATCCATGCAAATCTTTGCAATGGCTATCTGACCTGCATTATCCGCCCAAGAGTCAATCACATCAAATTTTAATTTGCGTTTTCACAAAACCATTATCCCTTTACATTGTGTAGCTGCAGAAGAAGTTGCAATAGGGTGATAAAACTTATTGGCTAACCGACCCACATTTTTTCGCAGTAAATGTGACTCCTGAATCATAGCAAAATCTATATTTTCCTTCCGGAGAAACTCTAGTACAGTGGTCCTTTTGTGTGGAATGTTAAGACCCCTGGCGTTGACTGAAATAAGATTAAGAGCTGTCATGTGCTAAAAAAAAAAAAAAGTGAAAATGTAAAAAATGAGAAATGGAGTTGATCCCGCCATAGTGGGAAGGAAGTCTGGATCCATAAAAAAAAAAAAAAAAAAAAAAAGAAAGAAAAGAAAAATGGAAGAGGAAGCAAAATACAATCGAACCTTCCTGATAAATCCACACCTGGATAACTGACTCAAAAAACTAGGAGTTTCAGGCCACTCAGTGTGGCAGCAACACCACCGCTTTTCAAAAAACGGAACAAGAACTGTGTGAACATTTTCTTACGAAGATTTAAAATGTCTGCCTTTATGTAGCAATGAGTTATATCCTTACTGACCGATCACTCACGGAAACGCCCCACCCAACATCCAGCCTACATGAACTGCAATCCAGGCAGAGATGAAAAAGACTACCTGTTAATAATCTACCCACAGTCTACAGAAAATAGATACAAATAAATAACTAATTATAATAATAATACAAATAAATAAATAAAATAAAAAAATACACCAATAAAACACCACTAAGGATCAGATGAACATAGAATAGTAGACCTATGCAATTAAGTAAATTACAGGTAGAGATACAAACAGAGCAAGAAGAGTGAAAAAAAATATATATATAAAAAATACAAAATAAATAAATAAAATAAACGTCTCCAACATCCAGTAATATAAAACCGGAATGCTAATTCAAATGATTAGGGGGAGATGGAGAACGGACCATATATTACAAAATCTTACCCACTCATTATCAGAGTCACTCTGCCAGCAAAAATAAATAAATAAATAGATAAATAAAAACATTGTGAAGGCGTACATAACCGCGGAAGGGCGGACACAATCAAAGGTTTTTAATGCATATTAAGGCCTTTTTAGGATCATCAAAACGATGCTTTACTCCACCAGACGTTGAAAGCACAGCAGGATAGCCGATGCCAAACGGGATCTTGGCTGAGTGAAGCAGACATTTACACTCCAGAAAAGTGTCGGCGCTCCTGTGTGGCCTTAGAAAAGTCTTGATAGAAACTTATCTTATGATTCTGCCAACGGACGTCATAAATGCGTAGATTAACTCGCCTTTCCCGATCCTTGTACTCGGTTAATTTGGCATTCAGCTTTTCAATCTCCGAAGCCAATGCCGTGGGGGAGAAGCTGCGCTGCCTCTCCACCTCCTCCAGCATATCGAGACGCACCTCCACGCTGTTTATCCTGGTTAACATATCGGCTAGCTTACCCTCAATCGCCTCAACAGCTCTTCTCGTTTCTAAGACGTCCTTGCGGATATCTGCAAAGTGTTTAGTTTGCTCATCTGAAAGTTTCTGAAGAAGTTTGTGTATTTTAGCAGTGGAGATAGCCACATCCGCATCTTCACGTGCTGGTGATTCCGGAGAAGCGTGGGTAACTTTGGAGCTAGCGGCAGCCCTAGTATTTTGCTGTTGTTGGGTAGTATTTTCGTTTTTTCGGGAGCTTGGCATATCAGCAATGGATTAAGCTTATTGTAGGCAGAAAAATCTATAAAAAGCCTATAAATTCACACTAAATATAACCTTGTGGCGTCGGAGCCCTCTACCTAAGCAGCCATCTTGCTCGGCGTCATCACGTGACCCCCTTTTTTCCACTATTTTCAGCTTTACTTCATTGGCAATCAACTATTCCCTTAAGTTATGACATCAGGCAATATCAGACTGTACACAATACTGAACAATACAAATGTTCTGGAGGAAAAAAGATGGCGCCTGTGTGCTCGGCTGGCCGTCGGTCTCTCTCGTACTTATCGTTATGGATATATCTATGGATGTCTATCTGGGCTTCAAATTGCTGCACACGTCTGGTCTATGACCGACAGTCACTCCTGAACATTCGCACCTCTTTTATGGACTTTTACAAGCAGGATGTAGCGCACGTTTTTAATCAAACACACAGAAACACCACTACGAATACATTGGAATGTATTCGCCAGTGGCCGCTTATCACTTCACAGAGGAAACGCAGAAGGAAACGCGGGAGTCGGGGTGGACGCATCATCAGATTGAAAGCTATTGAAAGACTCAGGATCGATGCAAATCCAAACCTTATGTCGGACGCCGATTATGTTGCCCGGCGACCGCGACCACTGGCTCATCGGTGGCTTCACTCTATCATTCCCCCGCGATCTCCGTCTGTCCATTTGGTTGGCTCACCTCGGGTTGGCCGCTGTCATCGGCAAAACGGTGTGAATCCCAGAAATCTTCGTTCTCTGAAGAAAGGCGGAGTTTTCCCCGATGTGATTCATCCGCCCAAAATGGCATTGATCAACGCTAGATCCTTGGTCAACAAAACCTTCCTGCTCAACGACTTCTTCTCCTCTCATAGTTTGGATTTCATGTTCATCACGGAATCCTGGACTACGGTTGGTGATTTAACCCCTTTTTCTGAACTAGTTCCAACTGACTGTTCGTTTTTTAACTCCCCCCGTCCGAACAGACGAGGGGGCGGGATCGTGACTATTTTTAAAAACTCGTTCTCTGTGCGATGCCGGCCGGTTCCTGTCAGTGCTTTTTCAAGTTTTGAAGCTCAACTACTTCATTTAGACTGGAATGGCCCTATTTTATTAGGGGTGATTTACCGTCCTCCACATTCACTCAAGGACTTCATTCAGCAATTTACAGAATTCATCGGTAATATCACCACAACTTATGACCGTTTCCTAGTGGTGGGTGATTTTAATATCCATGTTTGTTGTCAATCTAACACTCTGTCAAAAGATTTTCTCAGCCTCATTGAGTCTTTTAACTTAGTCCAGTGGATAAATGATTCCACTCACATCAAGGGTCACACTTTGGACCTTGTGCTTTCATATGGGATGGTGATTAGTGATGTTGTGATATCTGATTTTATGCTTTCGGACCATAAGCCAATATTATTTTCTACATCTCTTCCTTGCATTGCGCAAACCACCAGTACAGATGTAAGATTGTCTAGATCATACTCTCCTCATTTTGGCTCAAATTTTAACGAGCACTTTATGAATTCCCCACACTTGCTTCTGGACTCTCCACTATTGGAATTAGATGCCAACCAACATCTCGGCCTGTTATACTCCACTTGGTTAAATGCCCTTAATGAAACTGCTCCGCTTAAGCCCTTCAAACCTAAACCTAAATCTGAACCATGGCTCAACGCGGATATTCGGCAACTAAGACAAGCCAGCAGAAAGGCTGAGCGCAAATGGAAGAAGGACAAGCTACAGTACATATTTCACTTCAGTTATTTAAAGACAGTCTGTCGTTCTACCAGAATGCTGTAAAGGCGGCAAAAGCTGCACACTTCTCTGACATGATTATGGCAAACCACTCTAGACCAAAGGTTTTATTTTCTGTTATAAACTCGGTTTTAAATCCACCGGTAAATGTAATGAATGATGTTTCGGATGAGCTATGTGAACGTTTCTTGAGATTTTTTATTGACAAAATATCTAACCTGAGATGCAATGCCAGCCGCTCTGCAACTACTCAGTTGATGAGTTCTGTTACCTGGGATGCTTTTGAGCCAATCACTCTGAATCTCCTCAAAGAAATTATCACAAAGATGAAACCTTTGTACTGCTCTTTAGACATCATCTCTCCTAAGTTTCTTAAATTAATTATTGATTCAGTAGGGCCAGGATTGGTTTCCTTTGTTAATAAGTGCCTCCTTACCGGCTCTATCCCTGCTGCCCTTAAGGAGGCCACTGTCACTCCGTTACTCAAGAAGCCCTCACTAGATCCTACCGTGTTAAATAACTTTTGTCCTATCTCTGTTTTGCCTTTTGTCTCCAAGGTGTTAGAAAAAGTTGTTCTTGACCAACTCCAGCTCTTTCTAAAATGCAATAATATTTCTGAAAAATTTCAATCTGGTTTTAAGTCTGCTCACAGTACTGAATCTGCTCTGATGAGAGTTTTAAATGACATCTATCGTTCCACTGACACTGGTGACTCTGTGGCTCTTTTTCTTTTGGATCTGTTGCAGCTTTTGATACGATCGACCACTCGATCCTGATATCCAGACTAGAATGTGATGTGGGGCTAAAAGGTATCGTCCTCCAGTGGTTCCAGTCTTATCTCTCGGGTCGTACTTTCAGAGTGAAGCTAGGAAATTGCTCTTCGTCTGTTGCGCATCTCACCTGTGGCCTTCCTCAAGGATCTATCTTATCGCCTTCTCTCTTTTCTCTTTACATGTTACCACTGGGCACCATTTTAAGAAGACATGGGGTATCTTTTCACTGTTATGCAGACGACACCCAAATGTACGTCCCAATCAAGAGAAATGATCCCTCTGCCCTTTAATCATTTTTAAGTTGTCTAGATGAAGTAAAATTTTGGCTGGACCAAATTTTTTTGTTTTTAAATGAAAAGAAAACAGAGATCATTGTTTTCAGGTCCACTGTTAATCCTCAGGCTGCCACCTTTGACCTAGGCAGACTAGCGGCGTTTAGATCTTCAACTGTGCGGAACCTGGGCGTTCTACTGGATGAGTCTTTAAACTTTGATAAACAAATCTCCTCTGTAATAAGCTCTAGTTTTTATCACCTGCGTCTCTTGTCAAAAGTCAAACCTTTTCTTAATCATAAAACTCTTGAGATGGCTGTTCATGCTTTTATCACCACACGTGTAGATTACTGCAATTCACTTTACTGCGGTATATCGAAAACTCAAACTGCTCGTTTGCAATTGGTGCAAAATGCCGCCGCAAGATTCCTCACTAATAGTCGTAAAAGTGATCATACCACCCCAATTCTGAGGTCTCTTCATTGGTTGCCTATTAATTTCAGAATTGAGTTTAAAATCCTGTTATTTGTTTACAAAGCTCTATGCAACCAAGCACCTAGCTACCTAACTGAACTGCTACAACCTTATACTCCATCGAGAAGTCTGAGATCAGGCGAACAAAATCTGTTACAAGTCCCTCACTGCAGACTAAAACGCAGAGGGGATCGAGCTTTTTCTGTGGTCGGGCCTCGGCTGTGGAACAATTTGCCCATAGACGTTAGGATAGCCCCTTCTGTGATCTCTTTTAAGTCACTTTTAAAAACGCACTTGTTTTCTTTGGCCTATAAATAAGGTTGTTTGTGTATGTGTATGTATATGTATGTACATATATATGTATGTGTGTACGTGCGTGTACAATACATGTATATATATAGATTTTATTTTTGATAACTCTGAGATTGCTTGGGCTTCTCCTGTTCTAAGCTGTTCTTATCTTTGCTGTAGGCCTACTGTTCTATGATGTGCTGCTATGCATGGTGTTAATGTCTTTTAATCTTTTTTTTTTTTTTTGGTTCTGTAAAGCACTTTGGTCAGTCATTGGCTGCTATAAAATGTGCTATATAAATAAAATGAACTTGAACTTCTGTAAAATGTAAACACACTGTAAACACAGTGTGCTGAATGTGTAAAAACACATTCAGCACACTGAGGCAACTTTTGTGAATAGTTCATGTTTTCATTGCGGGAATATGACTATGACTGTGCTAAGATTGAGACTTGCTTACCTCAAGGGAGGTGCAGTCCCCTCGCCTATGCCCCGATCTAGCTTTTATTTTGGACATCAAAATAAACCTACTTCTGTGCATGGTCATGGTGATCTGAGGATTGACGTGAGGCAATCTCCTTGGGTCCCTCACACCTTACAAGCGCTGCAACAACCTGCCATGTCCTTTGGGACTCCGCTTGATGATCAGATGTCGATAGCAGCATCGTAGGGGGAGCTTCAGTCCTATGGAGATGAGGATTTGGAGTGTTGCCCCCTTCGAAGGAAACCGCAAGTTCCATTGGTCAGGCGATGTCCACATTGGTGGTCCAGGAGCACCACCTTTGGCTCAATCTGGCCGATATGAGGGACACCATTAAGAATCGGTTCCTGGATGCCCCTCTGTCCCAGGTTGGGTTATTCGGCGACACAGTTGAGAGCTTTGCCCCACCCGTTCACTGGTCACAGACCCTCCATCCGCTCGTCACTGAGGACAACTTCCTGGGGCATCCTCCGCTCCTGTGAAGCCCCAGCAGCAGCCACCATCCAGGCCTCAGTGTGGACCGCACAGGTTTATCTGTTTGCCGCCCCGGACAAGTCTCACTACCAGTCGTTCTATTCTCTGACCGAGGGGAAACCACGACACGGATGCTCTGGCACACAGCTGGTCCCCGGACCTACGCAAGTATGCGTTTCTCCCAGTGAGCCTTCTTGCACAGACATTGTGCAAGGTCAGGAAGGACGAGGAGCAGGTCTTGTTAGTTGCGCTGTATTGGCCCAACCGGATCTGGTTCCCGGAACTGGTTCTCCTCGCGACAGCCCCTCCCTGGCCCAGGATCTGCTCTCTCAGAGACGGTGCACCCTATGGAACCAGCATCCAGACCTGAATGCCATATTCTTCGTCACAGCTTTGAGGGATGAATTCCATAAATACTTGGAAAGCCATGGAGTTCACAATGTTACCTCATACAGATATCAGTCCTTGATTGCCCACCTTAGAAGGCACTATGAAGTAGGTGGTAATTTTAAAATAATGGTTGTGCCACAGAAAGTATGTTCTATTTGCTCAGCATAAATGAATGTTGGGTGCATGCTCTCAAAGTTGAAGGAACTTAAGGAGAAAATGGAAGAGGCAGAGTATGAAGAAGAAATACTCATTTATAGTTATCTGACATCACCACTCTAATACTCTGCATACTTCTTGCAGAATATGAAGAAGAAAGTGAGTTGACACCATGGTCTCTTCCTACAACACTGCAACTAGAATACGGAAGGAACTCCAGGACCAACGTAAGCAGGCCCTGAAGGAAGCAAGACAAGCCAGAACAGCTCAAGCCAGAGGAAGTCACCAGATCGCTGGCAGTATGACTGAAGACCCGACACTGCAGCAAAATATCATACCTGGAGGCATCCCAAAGATTGAGCTCTAACCTGTATAACCACCTGGCATGGATGATAACAGATGCATCTCCAGAATTAGGTGAAGACGGCCGGGTGAAAGTTAGACCTAAGTAGCAAGAACAAGTTCTCAACCTTGCCCAGGATGTCTGCCAAGCAGTTGCCAAGATCCCAACACCGAAACATGTTGGGACAGCCGTTAAGGAAACCAGAAGCAAGTCAACTGTGTCACTCCTAAATAGATTTAGGAACAGCATCAGCTACAAAGAAGTACATATATTTTACAACAATGGCAATGGCAGTTGAAGAGCAGACAACTAGGGATGGTGCCTTCATACCAACGAACCTGAAGGTTGGACGATTCACACAGTTTGATAAACTTGACTTCCCAGAGTACATAAAGGATGGACGAACACTGCATGGCAGTTCATTCCAAACATTTACCATCCTAGATACCATACCTGCAACTGTGATCAGCTATGGTCCCATCTTCCCCAAGTCACCAACAAACTATTGGAGGACCTGGAACCAAATTGCACTGCTCCTACATGGAAATCATTTTAAGAATTTCTCATCCCAGATACCATCCCTGCAACTGTGATCAACTGTGGTCCCTTCTTCCCCAAGGCAGCAACAAACCACATCTGATCATCACTGAGCGGGGTGGTTATGGCGCAGTGGATAAGACACATGCCTTTGGTGTGAGAGACCGGGGTTCGAATCCACTGTGAGACACCAATGTGATTGATGTCACTTAACACTTAGTTGCTCCAGTGACACTTAACACTTAGTTGCTCCAGAGGTGTGTGACCTCTGACATATATAGCAATTGTAAGTCGCTTTGGATAAAAGCATCAGCTAAATTAATAAAATGTAAATGATCAATT